CCCCCCCCCCCCCCCCCCCCCCCTATATTTCGGAAAGTGTTCGTTCACGGAGATTTTACCATGGAAATCAGGGTCAAAAGCCATTGAGTACAACTGTTCTCCTAACAAATGGAGGAAGAGGTGTTTTACAGATTATTAGATCTATTGGCTTGAACGACTGGGAGAAGAGGTTCCAAAGCTTAACACATTGACTACTTTTCCTTTGCAACCGGTTATATTAGATTGTGTTCCAACTTACATCCAATGTGTGAGTTTCATATTTAAGCCCCGCAAGCACTGTGCTGACAAGCCTTTTGTTCAGCATTTATCCAATATGTGTGAATACATCACATACTGGGTGTGTGGGTGGGTGTGGGTGTGTGGGTGGGTGTGGGTGGGTGTGGGTGTGTGGGTGGGTGTGGGTGTGTGGGTGGGGGTGCGGGTGTGGGTGTGTGGTGTAGGTGTGGGTTGGGTGTGGGTGTGTGAGGTGTGGGTGTGGGGTGTGGGTGTGGGTTGGGTGTGGGTGTGTGGGGTGTGGGTGTGAAATGTTCCTGAACGATTACCCACACCCACACCCACATCCCACACCCACACCCACATCCCACACACACCCACCCCCACACCTTACACCCACACCCACCAACACCTCACACCCACACCCATACCCCACACCCACCCCACATCCACACCCCACACCCACACCCTACGAAACAATGCCTGAACTTTCTTGAGCTCGAAGAACAGTAACTGGGGATATTCTTGTTCACTTACTTACTTTTAACTATTTGTCCGAGATAGTTTAAGACTAGCATGTCATGCAATGCATTATCTCACGATGTAGTTTTGAGAAAAATCTTCAAATTTTCTGAATTGACACAATTATTGAAGAAAACTGTTTGTTTACCTTTATATCTGTTATCTTTGCTTTAAAAACGTCATTTCTTTTACAAATATTTCGTAGAATCGAAATTTTCTCTATGTATAGTTGATTGTTTAATCAAATTTTATAGAACTTGTGTTTCGAGAAAACGATTTGTATTTGAATTCGAATTAATTTGATGAAAAAAGAGATTTTTTTATGTCAATAGTTGACATTTTTTTTAAAACTAGCTGATAGCTATTGTTGATTATGTAATCAGTTGCTTGGCCCAATTTCAATATCTGTGATGATTAATGATATTTTCAGAATCCTTCTCCTTCCAACTAATCATGTAATTTTCAACTAGCTTTTAAGATATTTTCTTTATTATCTACGTATTTGATTTGACTTAAAAAATAATATTGAATTGATATAAAGCGATTTTCTGTTTAACTAATTATAACAGTGTAGAACATATTAACCAATCTAAAGAGAAAATAGAAAAGTTAATCTATATCTTTACGGTTCAATGATCTTTCAAACAAACATTTAACAATTGTTTTTTTTATTTTAGACGATTCTATCACAAGTTACGTTTAAGTAAATTTTCACATTCAAACAGTGTAAAATTGTGATGAAATGATAGTAAAAAAAAAGATATGATTTAATTGTATTTGTATTTAATGTAATATGCTTCATTTTTGTCACTGATGTGTTTTAGTCAGGAAGAAAACAATATCAGTTCTGTAGGAAAATGACAAGCACACCTAATCTGAAGTATTTGTCAATAGTTGTCATTTTTCACATACTTTCTTATGATATGTTTTATTAGGCTGACATATTCATAATTATAAAGAAAATAGTCAGATATTAACAATCATTTTGCTTTTCTATTTTTATACTTTGTTTCTTTTTCTGTATATAACAATATAAAGAAAAGAAAAAATATGAAATTCGTAATATTTTAGGTAAAAATCTTATATAACTGATAGAATTAAAAGAAAACGATCTGTTTCACTCCATAAATATCCATTATATCAAATTTTGAATTTTTCTCAACTTGAACAATAATTCTTGTCGAATTCATAAGTACACTTCATTAAAGTTTCGAGAGCCTATATTATTTTAATCAGCTACTAACTACAGGGTGTCCCATAAGTAACAAGACAAGGAAAAAAAGTTTGAATATCTCCATTAGAGCTCGACCAAATGGGCTCAATTTTTTATCAAGGATAGAGGCATCTGCACACTCCAAATCCATACGAACAAGGTGAATGAGAACCTTTGTTAAGTATCGCTAGTGACCTCAACAATAAAACTTTTGCTTTGTCACTGGTAAGAAAAAACCAATATACAGGATAGTGCAAAAGTCACTTTATCGAAAAGAAAATTAAATATTTTCATTATGGCTCGAGCAACCGAGCTGATTTTTTTACCAAAAATAGAGGCATGCTTATACTTCAAATCCATACAGACAAGCTTAGTGAGGACCTTTGTTAAGTATATTTTTTTATTTTCCTGTCTGTGAAAAAGTAAAAATTTTATTGTTGAGGTCAATAGTGATACTTAACAAAGGTTCTCATTCACCTTGTTCGTATGGATTTGGAGTGTGCAGATGCCTCTATCCTTGATAAAAAATTGAGCCCATTTGGTCGAGCTCTAATGGAGATATTCAAACTTTTTTTCCTTGTCTTGTTACTTATGGGACACCCTGTATAATCAATTTGGTTAGTATCGATCGAAATATAGAGAACTCAACTTGACGATCCTCCATTGTTTGTTCAGGACTTCTAGCAAAATCTGTTTTTTGAAGACAAAGCTGCATTTCATACACATTACTCATGGAAACCAGTCTACATCTAACATGTCTCATATCTTGAAGAGATTTAGTTCCATATTGCTGTCTTGTTGAATGGAAATTAGTCTAATTGACTTACTTATATACACAGTTTTGCATCAAAATTCAATAGCTTAGTCAAATTCAAATTCTTTTCAAGTTTTTACTAGAATTCTATGAAGTATCTGTCGGAAAAAAAATCATTACAATTCGAAAAGAACATTTGAGGAAGATATCTTGCAATTATGAGCGAATGAAAGTTTATTGATTCATCTTCATGCAGAAAAAATAAATCAACATGTTTTTAACAATCTATTGTTTTCTTATCTTTTGATATTTGGTCAGCATAATAAAAATTGATGCAAGAAAATTTCCAACGAGAAAATATTAGATAGGTACAAAATAGTTTTGTTTTTATTTTAATGAATATCTTAATGCAATAGTAAGAAAAATAAGAAGTATATTATTTTGTAACATGAATTATCTAAATAGCAAACGATATTAATAAATGTTAGCATAAGAGTTAAAGAGGGCTAGATATCAACTCTATAAAAGTAACAAATAGAGTTCTATTACTTTTTTACAATTGAAAGAGAAAAATTTCGATGCAATTATTTAATAAAAAAACTAATAGAATCCGATAGTCTCTCTGAATATCGATGTAATTATATTTGATTAACGTTAAAATATAAGGAGGTAAGAGTATAGGTGTGTGTGTGGTGAGGTGTGGGTTTGAGGGTTTCGGTGTGGTTATGTGTGTTATTCTTCGAAGTATATACCACACCCACGTCCACTCATAGTTCCATTTTCTGCAGAGAGTTGTACTCCAGATAATATTCTGTACAAGCAATTTTGATTGATTAATCACAATTTTTAAAATTTTTTGTATATAGATAGAATCTGGTAGAAGCAGTTATTCAATTACAAGTTGAGTATAGTGCTATCATAAACAATCAGACTAGTTTTATGTATTGAAAGTATTGGATACGTGGATAATTATTCTGTGCATCTTAAACAAGACAAGTAACGGAGTATGGGTGTGGATTCGGTCGTAGCATCTTCTGGACAAACAAGGAACACCCACACCTACACTCCAAGATAGTCTTTATCTTTTCCCTACTTCTACTTATTTCTGTCATATATCTTAGATAGGTAGTTGTTTAGTGAATCTGTTATCAGTCTACATCGTTCGTTATGATTCATTCCTATAGAATAAAATTATGCTATTTTTGCCGTCATGAGAAAAAAGTTGTGCCATGAAAAGTTTCAATAATTTTCGTTGTCTTCATCATTTTGTGTTCTAATTTTGATGGATTACATAGAATCTCCAGTCAAAAAATAGTTTATTAATTCTTACGAATAATGCCAACAACAATAACTAGAATATATACAATATTCAACCTAACTATGAATCAAGATTGATGCATAGGAACGAAATCCTGCAAGTTACCGAACAATCGCATAAGCATTCGTCGTACTGACCATTCTCATGCTGGTTTATGTTCAATTTTTCGTGTAACATTGGTTGAGATCATTTGGACATGTGTCTTTATTGGATCAGTAGGCTTTTGAAATAGTTCTATTCGAAGTACTTGAAAAACTGCTTTACGAAAGCCACGACTTGTGAAGAATGAGACATAAAAACTAGTACTATAGAATAAATAAGAGAAAAGACGTATCAATTCAATAAAAACATTCTCCCAAGCTATTCGTAATGGTGATTTGTACCAATCTTCAGTAATACTCGAGTAAAGATTCTGAGCTCCAAACGGAAAAAATGAAGGTATAGCAACAAAAGATTGTAGTAAAAGCATTTTTGTTAATTGTGCATCCATTTGTTGAATATAAGATAGATTGACAGCAGGCGCTCGTGAAGAAGTACTTGTAGGCATGACGCGTCGATGACCGACTTGTCTAACATTTCGTAGTAGTGCACAGCCAAGTATTAACAAAACAGTCGGTGGACAAACACCAGACATGATGGCTTCAAAATACATGTCGAGTTTTGCATAGAAGCCTGGACGAGAAGCACAAACGCCGCTTATATTGCTATAGAGAAACAACCGGTGGCCAACAAGAAAAAACCAGAACACTATGACACTGGGTACCATCTTATAAGCCAAAGACACTCGATTGCTCCAATTTCGGTAAGCTGAAAAATAAAGAAGTCACTATGTGCAATTATGTTTCAAAAATAATCAATCTTAATAGAGTTGTGATTATATGCATTTAATCCTCGTGACAATCTACGTTACTCACAAATGATTGCTAATGCTACATATATATTAACAATAAACATCTAACGAGTTCAATCATGCAAAGAATTTAACTAGATCTTCAACTATTTAATGAATATCGATAGTGTCACAGTGACCCTGCAGAACTCATTTCAATATGTTATTTTCTAGATTTCTAAAACATACCAATGGAACGGTGCGTTGATAAGAGTCGATCAATAGTTGCCAAAGTAATCAATGTAAATGCCACTTGATGTGTATATTGAGAAAGAAATTGACGTATTTTACATACAACATCGTAACGATTGATAATTGGAAGGCGAAACCCTTTTTGAATCATACGTATGACTAATACATAATCAAAATAGAGAAAATTAAAATATGATTCAGCAATTAGATAGATTGAACAAGCTCGACCACGAAAATTTCGAGAACTAAAAACAATAATATTGCCAATCCAACTGATATTACCCGTGATAAATATGAATAAACCAAGATAAATATTAAGTTGATATGGAATCAATAATAAAGTAGGATCAATAATGTTACTACTCATATTTGTTACACTCATAATGACAATATTCAACACTTGTTTTGAATAAAAAAAAATTATTGATGATGATGTTAGTTGACTGTAGTCGTTTATTGATCAATTGCTTATCTGAAAAAATTATGAAATATTAAAAAGCTGTGATGATTGTGCGGTTGAATACATGTTGTTGATTGATTGAAATTGAAGAGAATCTGATGCTAATCCTCTTAAGTATCAGGTTCATATGTACGATCATGATACTCATCTATCCTTCTATTCGAAGTAAATGAAAAAGAATACATGTCATTGCAAATAAATATATAGCAGGGAGCAATCACTCTTTTAAGTAATCTCTCTCTCTCGTGTTATGCTAAAAAACTAATGAAATACAACTTGTATCTTTTTTGCGCATGATTATGAACAAAAATAGAAAATAATGAGCATGCATACTTATTCTACCATAATTGAACCATGCCTATATACTTTGATGTGTAATGATAGATTCATTAGGATTAGATTATAACTCTTCTCTTTGAATTCATCGTCTATGTTTTCAAGTATTCCGACAATTGAACTTTCTTGATATTAATTATAGATTTGATTCATTAATATTGAAAAGAAAAGGATGCTGACAATTAGCTAAGTGAATATTTTTTTTTTCTTAGTTTTAAAAGAACTGATTCTGATTCCATGTATTCATAGGTGATCCCATTAGAAAAGAACATCTGCTCAATCTCACTTCGTCAAAGAACTAATTAATTGTGACAAGTTAAAATGATAAGGATGACTAATAAAAGAAATTCAAGTTAAAAATTTATACGCTCAGTAATCGTTAGTCTAGATTTTTTATAATGCCATTAGGCATCAATACATCTCAGAATGAATTAATAATATCAATCTATTCTAGTTTTTTTTTTTTGTAGTATGTTATAATAATGAAGAATAGAAATCATGCAACTCTCTTCCACATTGTTGACACGCTTCTGATCATTCATTATGGGTGTTAGATTGACTTTATCATACTCAAGTTTGACCTGTCAGACAGATTTTAGTCATCTTAATCGTTTGTTCATTGAACAAAACCATATGATATGTGTCGGCTTTTGCACGTGAAGATTACATAGATAAACAATAATCGATTAGTAAACTTTCAGGTCGAATCAATTTTCCTTCATTGGTTTTTGTTGATTTTAGTATTTGATAGTCTTTCATAATTGGTATATTCAAATCATCTTTATTGATCAATGTTAATTTCACAAGTGTTACTATTATTTGGGTGTGGCTGTGGCTGTGGATATTAGTATTGGTGTTAAGGAAGAACTATACCCACACTCACACCCGTATCACCGTATTGTTCTACACAACCTCTCGTATTCCACCCCGAAAGAATACCATATTTCGTGCGTTTGCACACCGATAGTGTTTCTTTTCATTAACATACATTGCTTAGAGTCCAGTTGTGAGGTTGCTAGTCTTATAGCCAGACAGTTGACTACCAGCAGCCCAGGATCATTTTCCACTGCTGCTCGAGATAACAGTAGGCTCCTGTGGAAGTTAGAAAACTCCCCTGGCAAATCGTACATTGTATTATGATTCACAACGATCATATTGAAATCAACTCATCATTGACACAGATAAAATCACTCAGAGTGTGGATATGGATATGTAGTTGAGGATCGATGTGGGTGCTATTCCGTTCTTTAACAACGCATCCGCACTCACGCTCTCTAATAAGAGGTGGTCTTCTTTTCTGAGTGATAGAACTTCGGTTATACAGGTTGATTACGTTATTTTTGACAGTTTTGCCCAGTTTGCTGTATTTATAAAAAACTCGAAAATTTTTTGTTTTAATATCGTTGGATAGAACGTTAATTGTTCTATCGAACTATGTAGTTTTCATTATAATTACTTTACATTTTGTTCGAAAACTTGGCAAATTCCGAGAAGCACTAAAATGAAACTTTTGCATGCTCATATTTCAACGAGAATGAATTCATCAACGATGAAAATCGCTTGAGATGGAAGAAATTCATTCACCTTAAATGTACAAGAAATATTAAACAAAACTTATTCGAAATTGAAAAGAAATAGAATTTTGCCGCTAACAATTGGTACATTTTTGCATGTCCGAAAAACTAAGCGTAGGTGTGGGTGAGTGTGACGATCGTCACTTCAAGGAAATCACACGCACTCCGACACCCATCCATACCCCAAGATATTCTTATATGTTTACATGAAAATGAATTCTGTATCATGTTGGCTTTCAAAGAAATTATTAATATCTGTAAGATATTCTATATTACATATTGTAGATATATACAAACAGTCTACATTAAATACTCAAAAAAGCTAATGTATATGTAACGATAAAAGGAGAGATGATGATGTAATGACAGACTGGAGGA